ATGCCTAGATGAACTTAAACATCTGGTATTTTTGAGAAAAGTTCATTAGTAATAATAGAATTTTTTCCGCAGAACGAAGGCCGATTCAAAATCCGTGTTGAACTTATTTCTGTGTTCAAATCAAACTAACAACTGGCAGCAATTAACAAGAAGAGCTGTCAGTTATATGTTTATATTTTATAATTAATTCGGTACTGGTAAAGCAAACGGCACAAACAACTTTTTTAGATGGCTGGACCACTGAAAAGTAGGGCACAGACTTCAAGAGTTCAACAGAAGAGGAACACCTTGATCAGATCGTCACGAGGCGATAATTCTGCATCATTTGTTGGCTTCATATCCTCATTTGTCATGTCTTTGACAACGTTCCTCTGAAAACATGTGAATCTTGTCAGCCAGATAAGTATTAGTTTGTCCGGGAGTTTCACGAGATTTGAAAAAAAAGCGCAGTTTTGCTCCATAGACATTTGCTGGACAGATGCAGGGTCAGCCAAGCAATTTTCAGCTATAACTCCACAAAGCAATGCGGATAGCACAGACCTTGGTGGAAGTTCTCCGGAGGACAAGTTAGAATTCGTTTTTATGAAAAAAGCAAAAGGAAAATCGCATGGGGCTAGGTTGGCGCCTGGAGTTCATTCCCAATCATGACAGCACCTCAATAACAAGAATTGAAGCTCCCCTCTCCTTCATAGTGTGTTCACGCATGCGGCCTGAGCATCCGTGTCTTACTCAATACGCAGTAAGAGTAATTCCATACACGGCGTAAGGATGCGCAACAAAGAGTAAAGGAAGTGCTTGAAAATTTTTTTAAAATCTATGAGCATGAAGAAATCAAATCCCATGTTCGGCCATCTTTGTGTCTTGGCGTTGCTTTTTGTTGATCTTCTCTCAGCTGTTATTTCTACAATACAGGGGAAATTCAACAAGCTAATGGAGCAAAAACAGAGTTAGCTATGCCTAATGCGCCCATCTTTCCAAGAGTGTCTCTGGCAATGTATCTCTTCCTGGG